TTTCAAATTTACAAACTGACTTATTACACCTGTAAGCTACATTTTTCCTCCTAAAATGCCTTAACAAACAGGCTGTTAGTCTGTCTACCTTATGGCCAAAAAAAGGGGGTTAATAACACATATTTATGCTAGAAAAAAATTAATCTTTGGTTATTCAAATGTTAACTTATCAATGATTTAGTCTGCCAACTATTACTCAATATGATTAAATCCCTCAACTTTTAACTCATTTAAAACTCAATCTCTAAACTTTTCCCATTTAATAAATTAATCCTTATCATATATAACTCACTCTGACTCTTCACATAATTATCCTATGTCGTAAAATAATATTACTGACATGGCTTCCAAAATGAGCTCTTCTCATTGATCACACAAACAGTCCCTCCTGTCTCCCTTTCTTCTTCGTTCAAACCTCCACCTTCACACACTCATAGCGAATTTTTTCTAATTTAGTGAATCTTTCTTATCAAAACATATTAAGATGTTGAAAGGATGGGTGGCCACGCCATGAAATATTCATGAGCCCCAAAAATTAAGTTTTGAAATTCCTTAAATCTGAAAATAATCGGAGAAAAGGGAGGAAGTAAAAGGTTAAATGGAGAAAATTACAACGGAATTAATGGAGTGAAAGGGGGGGGGGGGACTTATGGGCGTCGAAAATTGAAGCAAGCAGCGAAGGAGAACGGGTGCTGGCGCTATAAGGGTGTGAAGGTGGAGGTCTGAACGAAGAAGAAGAAAGGGAGACGGGAGGGACTGTTTGGGAGACCAATGAGGAGAGCTTATTTGGAAGCCATGTCAGCAATATTATTTTGTAGGATAATTAAATGATGACTCATCAGAGTGAGTTACATAGGATAAGGATTAATCTATTAAAGGGAAAAAAATCAGAGTTTGAGTTTTAAAATTAAAAGTCGAAAAATTGAATCAAAAGTAAGGGACAAAGTCATAACCAGATTAAAACTTGAAGTACCAACAAATTAATTTTTCGGTTATCCTAATAAGATTTTCTGGGGGTAAGGAAAAAAGAGGTGGCATAAACATAAAAGGGGATAACAACATTATCATCGCGGGAAAATAATCATTCACCATACTTTAAGCCCTTCTTTATCATAAGGGACAATCTGGAATTCCACAAAAGCCTCATCTCCTAAATTACAGCTCTATAAACCTCGAGTTATCGGTTTTTTGGTACAAGTTTCATCCAAATAACTAGAAGCACAACTTCAAGGTTTAAACAAAGAAAGTAAAGTTTTGGTGTTCAAAGCACATGAACTGCCCATTCCCAACATACATATCATGAGAGGCTTTCCATTAATAAACGAAACGACGAAAGATCCTTTTCACCCAACCGGGGAAAGGAATCATAGCAAGCCTGGCAATTAGGATCTCCCACAAAGTTGGCTTCCAAAGGATGCACTACAAAAAATTTGACTTTGTCACCGCTGAAAAGTTTTAGCGGCGACATTTTGTCGCCACCAGGTCGTTGCCGTAGCGGCCGTGGTTTGAAACTTATCAGCGGCGATACAAAAAGTCGTCACTGAAACTACACTTTCAATGGCAACAAGAAGTCGCCGCTGAAAGTTGATGAGTTTGCCATCTAGATATATCGTCACTGAAACATAAGAATCGGCGGCGACTAGTGTCGCTGCTGAAACAAGCTTCAGCGGCGACACTAGTCGCCGCCAATTCTTGTTTCAGCGACGACACTTTTGTGATTACTTTTTTTGTGATTTTAATTATTTTTATAATATATTAATTATGCAAAAAAATTTATTTATATTCCTGATAAATATTATCAAAAGGTTTAATAAAAATAAAGTAATTAACACACAAATATAATATATTAAATAATAAGATTTATAACCATCAAAGTGTTTTTATGTCTTTAACTAAAAAAAATTGTTCAATTAAAAGATATATTACATAATGCAAAAGAAAATTACGTAGAGGGACCAATACTAGGGACGCTAGAAGGAGGGGTATCTGCAGGAGCATTTAACTGCATCTTTTGCATGAAAGCAGTGAATTGAGCTTGTATTCTCTATTCCATCAATTGCTCCATCCTTTGTTCAAGTTGTGTACACTCTGCTTCCATCTTTGCTCGCTTTGCTGCACGTTCTGCTTCCATTTTTTCTCGCTCTGCTACACATTCTGCTTCCATCCTCTCTCGCTCTGCAGCAAGATTTGCTTCCATCTTTTAAAAACCAGACTGTTCTTGTGTTGTGAATAAGTGCTCATCCCATGCATTTAAAAAACTTGATAACAAGCATCGAAGAAAATTGCAGCTAGCAGATCTCGAGAAGGAATGAACCAATTTTCAAGCGTCCAAAATACAAAAACAAGGCATTCGCATTACTTTGGTAAAGATGCTCTGGCAGCACTACATAGTTTGATTCAACATTGTTAACCAGAACAAGGGGTGAGAGAGGTTAAAAGACAGGAATCATACATGTCACGCAGCAATGGCTCCAAGGCAGCTTGCTTTATGGAAGCAACAAAGGCCTGTATGTAGGTGCATGCAGCTCCTTCCCTAACTCGCACGGCACCTCGTCAATAGGCAAACATCTAACGAGGGAACCAAATAATAATCACAAAGAGATCAAGTCCAGAATGTACGAGGAATATTACACTACTTTGTAATTGTAGATTCAGAAAGAGGGGCCACACCCACACTAGACCACTATTCAGTGCCTAAGTTTACAGAACCATCTCTCATCAACTTTAAGCTCAAGCTGTTGAATCTCCCTTGTGAATAATGCCTCGAGGCTTTTTTTTTTCAAGGCTACTTTGAGGTCACTTTTAAGACTACGTACTGTGTTATAGTAAAAAGAGAAGCAATGAAAGTTCAAATTTATCCTTAGGATAGTGATAATGCACATGGGCTTTACCCACCAATTCAACAAAACCCACCACCATTTCCCTGTCACACCACACGAGTTCTTTCCATAAAAGAGAATTGATCCCACACAATCCTTATCTCTTATAGCTTTACCATTTACTCGCTTTAATTTCTCATGAATGATGCTGAACGAAGGCTTCGGTTTACACAGGAACTTCCCACACAATCCCACACAATCCTTATCTCTTATAGCTTTACCATTTATCCCTACGACCCATTTCTGTATCCTGACCCACTCACCTTCAATCCGTGGAACTTCCTATGAACACTAATCCTACTGACTGCACGAAGGCTTCGGTTTGCACAGTGTGACATATATTTACTGATAGCAAGGTTCTTTTTGCATCGTAGTTTTGAATCCAGTTAGAAAATATTTTCTTCTTTCAGTAAACAACACATACACATGACAGCCATTAAATCTAGGGGATTTAAAAAAAACACACACAATCAATCCAGCAAACCAGAGGAAAAACAGATCTGAAAATGCAGAACAAGAAAGGGGAAAAAAAATACAGCACCACAAGACTTCAAGAAAAGAAGAAGATCAGCGCACTTACATGGATGAAGCAAGAAAGAACGCTGGAAGTGAGCGATGGACTAAAAGATGGACGTTGGAATCAGTCGGATGCTCGAAGCTTCTTTGCACGGCGCTAAGAGGGAAAAGCAAAATTTTCAGAACATTGGAGTGGGTTAAATTGTTTTGGGTTTCAAAATGTGAAACTTTATATACAATAACAATTCGCCAAGCTTGCAAATAACACGCGTGGCTTCATTGGCGGGGGAGTTTTAAATTTCACCAGGTCCCCTGTTCAAACCAGCCAGATAACACTTTCATTATTTTTAACCTTTTTTAGCCAAAATGAATGTGTGAAAAATGGGCATTTGTCAGGCTCGAACACGGAACCTCTTGATTAGAATAAGCTATGCAACCGTATGTGTTTTACAAAATTTAATTAATCACATTTTAAATAAAAAAATATAAATAGTAATAATATTTAATTAACTATATACATGATTTTATTATCTATATCTCTCACACATTTTTAATTAATTATATTATCTCCTTCGATAATTTTATTTCTCAATCCTCTCATACATATGTTCATCATCAAATATTATTATGTCAATTAAGTATGCTCACACTAATTTAATTATAATAATCTCTCTCATATATTTAATTATGTTGTCTCTTTCAATTATAATATCCTTCTCTCCCTCACACATACACACTATCTCTCTTCCAATAATATTTACATCTACCTCTCATACACACTCTATCCTTCACTACTTTCCCCATCACTCAAACTTGCATACTTTCTCATGCATGCCTCCATCTCATTTCTCTTCCATGCACAATGTTTTTCTATTCCATCTCTCAAACATTTGGATATGGCATATGTGTTTTATACACACTCCAAACTTTCTTCCTCTCCCTTTCTCTCTCAAACACCACATTATCTTTCTTTTAGTCTCTTTCTAACACAAAAATACATAAAAAAAATTAATTATCAAAGTTACTTAATTACACAAATAAAAGATTATAATATAAACTTTTTACAAAAAATCAAAAATGATAAAAAAAAATGTGAAAAAACTTTCATTGTTGCCGCTGAAAGATGTTTCAGTGGTGATAGTTTTCTGTCGCCATTGAAAGAAAATTCAGCGGCGACATTTTGTCGCCGCTAAAAGCAGTTTCAGTGGCGACAAAAAGTGTTGCCACTGAAACATCTTTCAGCGGCGACAAATTATCGCCACTGAAAGCAGCTTCAGTGGCGACAGAAATTGTCGCCATTGAAAGGAGATTGTCGCCGCTAAAAATACATTCAGCGGCGACTTGAAATGTCGCCGCTAAAAGTGTATACCTTCAGTGGCGACCATAAAAGTCGCCGCCGTAGTGTACACTTTTGGCAGTGACAAATTTTGTCGCCACTGAAAGTTGCAGCTACAGCGGCGACAATAAAAAGTCACCGCCGTAACTATCACTTTTCAGCGGCGACTTCCTTTGTCGTTGCTGAAAGTCATATTTTCAGCGGCGACTTCCTTTGTCGCCGCTGAAAGTCGTCATTGAAAGTCTAGTTTTTTGTAGTGATGGTTGTTTGGAGGATTTTGGAAGTGACCTTGTATGGATCGATATTATCATCATGCCTCCAGTCTTCTATAATATATCCCCATAATACTTTTTTTGCCCCACTAGCCCCAGTTGAAGTCTCATAGATTGGAAAAAACTGCTCAATGCCAATTCATAGTAAAGTCATACAATCTTAATTAAGATACGAATCTATCTACAATTATATGTCAATCTATTTAATCACAAGAAGAGTAAGCATATAATGAAGCATGAACTAGTTAAGAATTAAGGTAGCATTTGATTTGCTTTCAAGTCATTTTTAAATAGCTTAAGACCGCATGGATTTCGTTAGACTTTTTCTGGAAAGGTACGAAACCGTTTGACCCCATACTTATGAGGGTCATCAAGCCCTATGAAATTCTTTTGGAATATCGACTAACTGGGAAATTAATTACTTACAGTTATTAAGATAAGGAGTTGTCTTAATTTGAGTGGAAAACCAGAACTAGATGTGGTTTTCTATAAGATATAGCAGAGTGTACGTAAAACATACAGAACACTGTAAGAAACTACGCTTTCGTTTGGTTGAAGTTAACTTTAACATTACTTTTGAAGGTTTAGCCTCTGACACATACATCTAAGACATCTCAAAAATGTTGTGCGAGAAACAGAAGCTATTAAAAAGTTTTGATCTTTACTTGTGAAAACATAGTATCGTCCCTAACTGAATAGCACAAAACCTTGATTATGTCTTTTGCAAAAGTAGGGTAATGTATATAGGATTTTTTTTCATCATGTTAAACGTGGACGATGTTGTAGGCCTGCATGCGTAATCTTTTCAAATAACTGAGTTATCTATGCAGATGAAATGCATCGAACAATTTTTTTTCCTTAGAAAAGTAAGAAGTTGAATCCAAAAGTTGAACTAGATCAACCTTAGGATATCTGAAATAAAAGAAAATTAAGAAATGCATGGTTACGTTGTGAAATGACGGCCATGAAAACACTGAACCACAAGAAATGCCCAGTGATGTGATGATATATACTCTTCTGGTCCTAAATATAAAACCCTTATATTTAGGTCCGGAGGATAAGGGTCTTATATTTAGGACCGGAGGAGTATTATATATCACTCTCAGTGCATTACTTACCTGTAAAACAGTTCTCAGCACCCGAATACCCTCCAAGCCATTGCCTTCCTCTCTAGCTGCTATGTCATCCATGTGCTTCATCATCAACTTCAAAACTTTGAACTGGGAGTCCTCATAGCCTCCAAATTTTCTCATGGATAAGGTACTGTCATATTAATAAGCACTTGTCATTAGGCATAAAGAAATCAAACAAGAATTTCAAGAACTTTTTCACTAGTAATAACACTGACCTGAGCCATATGGGCGTATCAGCTTCCTTTGAAGTAGTCTAGTTTTGATCTGCGAGAAAACCCAAATGGCAAGAGTCAATATTTAATCCAAGGAATATCCTTATATAAGAGACAAATCCAATAGCTAGTTTTAATTTGCAAGAAAACCAGCTTCATTTGAAGTACTCTAGTTTTAATAGGCATTACTGTAAGCATGATTTTTTACATTTACGCCATTTGTGGAGGACTTTTTACGTCGCTTTTGGGAGGATCTTAATTTCAAGCATTGTAGTAAGTATACTCATCTATGTTGGTCCTAAAAGCGACATATATAAACTTATCTACATTGGTCACAATAAAAGCAACTATGTAAATCGATATTTTTTCAAAAACCGGTGTACATAATCTTATTATCTAAATTGAATTCTCTGAGTATCAACGTAAATTTTTACAATTAATTTTCTGTATTTCCATATGGCCAGAATCTGCTGAACAAGCATTTCAATTCTACATATACAGAAAATAAAACAGTAGCAACATAGACTCCATCCAGCAGATCAGCACCATTATCAACACTATTTTAAACTTTATTGAACACTAATTATAACTAACATTACAATAAACTACACAATGGCAATTATAAGGCTAAAGCTAACATCTTAGGGTTAAGGTGCATCTAGTATCTCAAAATATTTTTCCAGGTGTATCTAACACCCTAAAGTATTTTATAGTGTATCTAATATATTTTTAAATGCATCCAGCATCTTAAAGACTTTTTTTATGCATCTAATACCTTAAAGTATTTTTTAAGTGCATCTAACACACAAAAATATTTTCTTATGCACCCAGCATCAAAGCAAAAAAAAAAAAATTGTAGGGTGCTAAATGCATCACAAAATGTTTTGGAGCATTAGATACACTTAAAAAAAATACTCTAGGATGCCAGATATATCTTAACCCAGCAATCCTAACTATTCCAACAATAACCTAAAGGTATGGGATGACCCCAAGACTCACTCTGAGACCACAACTTCTAAAGAAGTTGTTGTGCTAAGACATTTTAGATAAAATCAAAGGAAAATACAATTCCCCATTGAAGGCTTTTTTAATACCTGCAGAATTGCATTGGGTTCAAAGGAAACCAACATCCTGTGACTCTCAGCCATCACCTGCTCCATAGAAACAGCAACAATAGTTGAAGTATTGAGAGTAAAATGATGTCAGACGACGACAGAGTAACTGAGTGACTAGCTATCAGTAGGCCTAAGATACCTTTAAAATGAAATGAGCAGCACATAACTGATCAACAACAAAGATTCCATCCGCAGAACCCCACTGCATAAGAGGTTGAAAACAGAACGGATATAGGATTAAAAGGAAATTTTTAATAGTAATTAATAATGAATACTCCCTTCAGTCCATAATATAAGTCACTTATAGAAGAATTTTTTAGTCCACAATAAGTCACTTGCAGGATAATTGATGCTTATTTGCCAATTTTATCCTTGTAATTATATTTTTCTTTCTTAGTAAAACATTCATTTAATATGGGTAAAGTTAGAAATTTTTATTTTCAAATTAAGACAGATTTAATGAGTTAGCTATCACATTTTGGTTTTGGTGAATTAGAGGGTGTTTGGATAGAAATCAAACCATGATTTTAAAAGTATTGTTACAGTTTACGAAATAAATATGTAAAAGAGTTTGTCTCGTTTTGCAGAAAAGTCCTTCTTAGAAGCACTTTTGAGGGTTGCCAAACATTTTTTAGTTAGAAATAACTTTATGGATAGGAGAGAGTACCTATTTGTAAGTAAGTAAGCACCAACAGAGAATAAAGTATGATTAATAAATAATAAGGAGAATAGTTGCATTAAAATATATACCTTGCCCACTTGGAACTTGCACTACAAAAGAAGTTGAAGAATGAGTTAAATTAGATAGGAGTTAAATTAATTAAAAGGTAAAATTATATTATAAATATAACTGAGAAAAAAAATCACATTGTAAGAGAAAGGTTATAGTATACATTATCAGGCATTCTTCCATTTGTTCCCCTAATGTCGATGCCAGCAGATAAGGAGGCACTATAATGTTCTCTCACAATATCATTTACAGCACCAGCATCAGGGTAATATTGTCCCTGTCAAAATGAGAGAGATGTATAGAAATGGGTGAAAAACTAAACAATATGGCCTGCCAGATTATAGGACATTTTAAGAGTTTGAATTTTTCATTTTTACTTTTATATCTAAACAAATAGGGGGGGGGGGAAGGTATTTAAAGAACCTCTTAAGTCATCACTAATTCTAATTGCATACATCAAATTATTGAAATGTCATTGAAGGACCAATGGGAAACAACACCATTCCCAAGTGGATTAATTGATTTTTACGAGTAGTAGATTACACAAAATCAGTTGTGAATTTCATATAGATGGGACAACTAGTTAACACTCACTTGGAATGAGTTGCATGTGTCTCCCCCAGTACTGGTCCTTCAAGCTCATTCCCAAATGGGTTACCTGATTTTTACAAGTGATTTATCTACAATTTGCAATTTTGATTTTATGAAATTTCAGTAATCCACTGGTAAGAAAAAGAAAGCTCAAATTAATTCCATGAGTTGTAAGGGAAGTGTAGGCAAGCCACTTGACAAAACCAGGTAACTTACTTAGGAATGACGTTGTCTTCTAGTGATCCTTCCATGAAACTTCAATAATCAGAGGTTTGTAATTAAAATCAATGTCTTAACAGGATCCCCATTTGTCATTATTTTCCAAAGAAAAATTCACCTGAGATGCAGGAGATTGACTATCAAGTGGCACCAAGGCGTATTCTTGCTGAATAACAACCCTATTTCCATATGAAACAAAAAGCTAGGTTTATAAAGAAAGAAAAATAAGTTCCTAGCCAAACATCCTTGTTGAATATATAAGACATTAAACAACGAATGATATATACCAAGGGTATTGAGCAGCAACATAAGAATGACTGTATATCAATGCAGCATCACGTCTCTTGTTTGTGTTGAAGGGTTCTCCATTAGGGGTGTACGCATCACAAATAACCTAAAGATCAAGTCACCAATCATCATCATAAATGATGGGAACAATGCATAATGACCTTTAGAAAAGCTTGATAAAAACAAAAATACAAACTCACCAAGAGATCAGCCCCTTTAAATGGACCATTGAAAACTGCCTGCGGGCTGTGCATTTGTCACACATCAATTAATTAATAAAACTGTAAATTAAGATAGAGTCACTTATCAATAAGGGAAAAAAACGCTTACTGCAGGGTGAGGCCACTGGGATGATCCCACCTGGGCAGATTTGAAGGGCTACTAACAGGGCCAGCAGGGAGGGTCTTTATAACACCAACGACATTTTATACTTACGTCAGTAAACCAAAACAAAACACACATTCTTTTCTGGTGGATTAAGAAAAGAAGAAGAAGAAAGAAAGCAGCGGTTTACCCTTGCTTTGCTCTGCAGGCCCCCACTGAATCCTCGTTCGCCGATCCTAAGATAATGGAAAGTCAAAAGAGGTGTTCAGAGATTATAAATGAATTTTCTATGGAAGGTACCTGAAAAGTATGGCAGCAATAAATCAGTGTCGTTTTAGTTAACAGAATCGTATCGGTTAAGGTTTCCGGCAACTAAAAGCCAACGAGAATATTTAACATAAGGCAACTATAACTGTGATAATTCCAAAAGAAAGCAAGAGAGATGACAGAAATGAGGGGATTCCGACCATTGAGAATAAAACAGAAGCCGAAAAGATGGGGAGAACAGGGACAACTGAAGGAAGAAGATTATGGTCGATTTAAGGTCCGCCGCCATTATAGGGGTCTCCGTCGACGGAGTCGTTGCCGTCGAAGCCCATTGGGTTGGAGCAGACCCCAAGCTCAGCAAGGCGGAAAATTCCTTCTTCTCTCTTGCGCGTGACAATGGCGGATGATGCAGCCCCTCACTCAATTGAAGCACAGAGATGCGTATCCATTTCGCATCTTGGTGGTCTCAAACACCTACCCTTGAGGTCGGCGATCATGTAGACGCCAAAATCAGTAAATATAGACTCACCTGAGACGGCAAGACACCTCCGTCGGAAGAGAAAGATACAACGGCAAGAGTGCTCCGTCCATGTTGACGGAGGGCGCCGCCGCAGCAGCAGAGTGAGAGAGAGAGACAAGTGAAACAATGAGTTGGAGAAGTTAATGAATACGAGAAGTAGGAGAAGATGATGCGGCCGTGTTGTTTAATTTAGTATCCTTTTGCACGCAAATTCATGCCTATAAAGAAGAGAGAGGCATGGTGAGGATAGGAAAAATAGAGAATTACCATATGTAGAGTGCGTTGATCTCGGGGGAATTGTCGGAAAGTCCGAGCAAAGCCATGTTCCGATGTTCGTAATGCGAGTCCTTCCGAATCACGAAGCTTGCAGGCAGAGCAGATGTTTGCGTGAAGGGTTTAAGGTTGGGTTCGTAGTTCAGGTCAATGTGGCCTACAGTTCTTATGAAGAGAAGTTTCCATTGATGGTAGAAAAATCAAGGTAGAGAGGCAGGACGTGATATGGGACACATGCAGAAGGTGGACTAAGGATGACGGAAAGTCAGATTCCTAGAATGCAGAGGCACATTCTTATGAAATAAAATAAAATAAAAATTCTCTAAATAAAGATAGACAACTTAGTGTATTTCTGAATTAAATTTTAATCATATCTGATATATTTTCATTTCATACTTCATAAATTTTAGTGAGGTTTCTAGATCTTTGTATTGTTTTTCCAAATTCATTTTGAAAAATACTTAAAAATCCAGAAGATTAAACAGCTGGTTGTGTTGAAAAAATTTGCATGGACTATCTTTTCATTCTCCACACTTTTTTCCCACTAATATTTTCATTTTTTTTTTAAATGTCTATGCCTCTACAGAAAGCCTCAACTCTGTTACTCTCTAGCCATATATAGCCCCTCACTTGCAAATCTGTCTCATAAGTTATAACGATTGTAATTTTTAAAATTTTGTGCCCGAGGTAGTTTAAAGATCGGCTTACATATATGTATATACAGATACACTTAAAAAAAATGAAGGAGAAGATGATGATGTTTTTAATTTTTGTTTGCCCACATCAATGAAAATAGAAAGCAAGATAGGGCGATAATGATGTTTTTAAGCTTGGAAGGCAGAAAATTAGTGCGGTGCGGATAGATCTTATGCTTCTTTTGGTTTTGTATACAATAAATGTTTTTGAAGATAGCTTGTTCTTACTCCTATGGTCTTATTTATAAGTCACTTTCAGCATATTTTACACAGACCAAAGAAAACATTAAACTTCATTAACTCTCAACTAAAATTTAATAACTTTCCAACTTTATCCCTATTTAATATACATTATACTTTGTGTAAACAAAGTCAACATAGTAATAAATGAAGGGTAAAATTATAAATCTATGCAAATAATTTCTTTCAGTGACCTATAAATAGGACCAAAAAGATCTTTTTTTGCCCCCTATAAATAGGACCAAAGGAGTATTTATTAAAAAAACTATTAATCTGTTTAAAATTTCAAGTAGTATCATTTTTCTATTTTTGTATGTTAATTATGAGTTATGTCTCGCTTCATTAATTGCCTATTACCCACTCACTCGATCTATCTATAAATAATGTGTTTTTTTAATAAAAAAAATTGTATCATGCACATATTTATTGCTTAAATTAATTTTAACTATTTTTAAATTTTAATTTTAATATCCTGCTTTTCTTGGACGCCAATGATTTTGTGCGTACCAATGGTCTCAACTTTCTGTCTTTTGTGGCGCTCAGCTCATTTTTAAATTATCCTTTTTGGGGTCTGACTATCTGAAATGAATATCCAATCATAGTACTTTCTATCTAATTTGGTCTGGCCATTTGTAAGGAGAAAACCAAGACATAACTGAGTGTACAATAATTTTAAGGAGAAAATGTAAATAAGTCACAAGTAAATAAATTAACGTTTAATAAATCTTTTTTATGATAATAATTATTCTTCCGACTCTAAATATAAAACCTCCTTTATAATATAAATTATACTATACAAAAAATTTTATATTTAAAAAAGAAGGAACACAACAACGTGTTAACGGAGAGAGAGAGACCAGGAATGTCTACAGTTCTCCGCTATTCCTTTATGTCCCGTATCACCAGTGGCCACAGACGATATTGACAATGACAAGTTGGAATTCCTCAGAGTGGATAAGGACAAAGGTTGGAGAATAGTTCGTTATTATTAATAAACCCTTTCAATTTGATTTATTATTAATAATCCTTTGAAAGAACTTTGTGAAAAATGCAGAGAATAATTGTAAATTTTTAAGTTTCACTCAGAAATATTGTAGAGGAGCTTATAAAAAAATTTCAATTAAATCATAAATTATTGAAAAAAATTAAAAATAATTTTTCTGCAATATTAACTAGTTAAGTTTTAACTTTTATATCTGAGACTTATTTGTAATTTCGAAGTTTTAATGCTTTGGTTTGATTTCAAGGTCAAAAATAAATGCTTTCGTTTGGTCGGGTGCGCGCCCTCCCGGATGACGCCAACTAAAGATTAAAAAGATAAAATAAGTTAAGTAGCATCTATTTGAAGTACCTTTTATATATTCTAAACTGCTATCTCCCTTCAGACGTATATGAATTAGACAAAAGATTCATCTTGGTCTTATACACACACATATATATATATATAAGATTTTAATTTATTTTATCTCTTAAATTTATATTTTTTTGATCTAAGTATCTCTATTAATTACACATGTTAAGAAGACTCTCAATTAATCAAGAGATAGTTTTAATGCGCTGATTTAATAGGGTAGTTCAGGAAAACTAAAACAAATTTTTTATAAATAGAAATAATTAATTTAATTAATTTTTTAATATTCATAAATTAGTTATATCAAGCTATTGGATGTATTAATTTTTAGTGCATTCAACATCATTTTTCTAGTAGCTACCAATATCCCAAATCAATATTTAGTGCACCAAACAACTTAAAATATTCTTTCAACGCTACCCAATGTCTTAAATTTAATGTGCTAGTAACTGCTGGAAAAAAAATACTTTAAAGACAAAAAATTCACACAAAATTATTTTAGAATATTGGTGATTGAGTGGTACTAAATAAATTCTCTAGAGTATTAAATAGACTAAAAAAATTAATTTCAGATATTGAATAATACTAAAAACATACATCATACGTTGGTAAAATTAACCCAAGGTAAAGTGCCCTTTTGTTTCGTTCCTTTTCCTTTTTTGAATCTCTTTGAGGCTTCCATCCCTCTATAGCACTGGTCTCCATCTTATAAAATACGGAATTGGATGGCAAGTGGAAACATCATTATATAAATTTAAGTTACCAATAAATTTTTAGTTAAAATGGTAAACAGTTTTACCTAAGTAAAGAGAAAAATACAAATTCAAATGATAACAAACATACTAATTGAGAGAATTTTAACTTTAATGTTCTCATTCCTCTCAAATTCAAAATGACTTGAAGAACGATACACTCTAAAAAAAATGTAACGAGAGGATTGAAAGACCGGAAAAAGGCCTTACACAGTTAAAGTGCCAAACTAAAACCTTATGTAAGTAAGCCGGACATTATGGTTAATGAATGGCTAAATTCATATATAATCCTTGATGTCAAATGATATATCACTTCGCTTCTATGTAAGTCAATTCTAATGCTTTTTTTTAATTTTATTTTTATTGAATTCTTATTGAAAAAAATGAAGAGATATGAAAATAATTTATAATTTATCAATATGCAAAATTTAATAAAACTAAAATTAAAAATTTTTTGTCAAATATGTTGCAACGACTTATAATATTAAAGGAGGTGTTTGGGTATTATGAAAAATACTTTTTAAAAATATTTTTCATAAATCGAGATAAACTCCTACACACATTTATTTTAAATACTATAAAAATATTTTTAAAATTATGATTTTGATCCCATCTAAACACTATTTAAAATTCGGAGTGGTACACAGCGAGTGCACGCAGGTTAATGATGTTGGAGGTTTTCAAAAAGGGGCGAAAAGAGTTGGGTCCCTTCTTAGTTCATTATCATTGGACAGAGAGCATATCCATTTCAACAACGCAAGGAGCAATCCAATCTAATGTGCTTTGTGGAGACTATCTTTTGACAACTATTATTATTATTATTATTTCCCTAAAAGAGCAAGGAGATGCTGAATGGGCTAACGGCCCACGTTTGATTTAAAAATAGAAAAATGCTTTTGAAATATAGTAGTTTTTTTTTTTGTCAGATTTTGAAATAGTAGTTTCTTTGAGTAACAACTCGTCCATGGAGCCACGAAGCCTATATAATGAATCTTTCTTTTTGGGACCAAATATAATCTTGGGTCATGAGAGAATTATCAATAGATATTGATGCATTATATTGTTCTCCAATTTCAATTTTCCCAATTTTTTTTGAGAAAGGCACTAAAGAAGGGGGAATGACAATTATCTCGTCGCTGAGAATTGGGCCAATTGATCAGCATCATCAGCCCACAATGATTGGATCATCTTGGGCGAATATAAAATCTGTACACTGCCAACTATTCTTATTCTTGTCTTCTGTTTTTTTTTTTTTTTTTTGGTGAAAGTATTCTTATTCTTTTGATAAAGGGTAAGGAGTTAGGGCGCTTGTTACGGTGAAAATTCAGGAAGGTATAGGAAAATTTGTCATTTTCCATCCACACGCGTTTTTGCGCGCCATACTTTTCGGGAGACAAAATTCGCGCGAAAAGATACTTGGAGGAATCTCTTAAAAAAAAAAAACACTTTTATAAGGTATTTCTAACATATTCAATACAAATAAAAGAAAACATTGAATTGCATTACTTTTTCTTTAAATATAACAATTTTTTTTATGTTACTTCTACTTAATATATACACATTGTTTTTTAAAAAATAACTATCTGTCTTAATAAATAAAGAATAAAATAGTACACTCATGTTAAAAATTTAATACCATGACTTATAAAAAGAATTAAAACAAACTTCTCACTACCTTATAAATATGATTTAGTCTGTCTACCTTATGGCAAAAAAAGGGTAATAACACAAAAATTTATGCTAGAAAAAATTAATCCTTTATTTATTCAAATTTTTACTGATTTATGATTTAGTCTGTCAACTATTAGTCTATTACTCAATATGATTAAATCCTTCAACTTTTAACTAATTTAAAATTCAGTCTCTAATCTTTTTCCATTTAATAAATTAATCTTTATCATATATAGCTCATTCTCAGTCTTCACTTAATTATCCTATGGTAAAATAGTATTACTGACATGGCTTCCAAACGAGCTCTTCCCATTGATCACACAAACAGTCCCTCGTGTCTCCCTTTCTTCTTCCCTTCAAACCTCCACCTTCATACACTCAGGGAATTTTTCTAATTTAGTGAATCGTTCTTATCAAAGCATATTAAGATGTTGAAAGGATAGGTGCCCGCGCTATGAATGATGCATGAGCCCCAAAAATTAAGTTTTGAAATTCCTTAAATCTGAAAATAATCGGAAAAGGGAGGAAAGAAGAGGTCAAATGGAGAAAATTACAACGGGATGGAGTGAAAGGGGGGAAAAAAACTTATGGGCATCGAAAATTGAAGCAAGCAGTGAAGGGGAATGGTGCCGATGCTATGAGTGTGTGAAGGTGGAGGCCTGAACAAAGAAGAAGAAAGGGACACGGGGGGGACTGTTTGGGAGATCAATGGGGAGAGCTTATTTGGAAGCCACGTCAGCAACATTACTTTGTAGGATAATTAAATGATGACTCGTCAGAGTGAGTTACATATGATAAGAATTAATTTATTAAAGGAGAAAAGATCACAATTTGAGTTTTAAATGAATTAAAAGTGGAATGACTGGATCAAAAGTGAGGGATGAAGTCCTAATTAAATTAAAACTTGAAATACCAACAGACTAATTTTTCCTTTATTCTAATAAGATTTTCTGGGGCTAAGGAAAAAGGAGGTGGCATAAACATAAAAGGGAATAACAACATTATCATCGCAGGAAAATAATCATTCACCATACTTTAAGTCCCATAAACAAAAGGGACAGTCTGAAATTCCACAAAAGTTTCATCTCCTAAATTACAGCTTTATGAACCTCGAGGTATCGGTTTCTTGTTACAAGTTTCATCCAAATAATTAGAAGCACAACTTAAAGGTTTAAACAAAGAAAGAAAGTAAAGTTTTGGGGTTCAAAGCACATGAACTACCCATTCCCAACATACATAGGATCTTTTGGTATAAAATATGACTGATATCACAACAAGGGAGATATACATATCATGATAGGCTTTCCATTAACAAACGAAATGACGAAAGATCCTTTTCACCCAACCGGGGAAAGGAATCATAGCAAGACGGGCAACTAAGATCTCCCACAAAGTTGGCTTCCAAAGGATGGATGTTTCGAGGATTTTGGAAGTGACCTCATACGGATCCATATTAGCAGCACGCCTCCAGTCTACTATAACATATCCACTTAATGCTTTTTTCGCGCCACTAGCTCCAGTTGAAGTCTCATAGATTGGAAAAAACTGCTCAATGCCAAATCATAGTAAAGTCATACAATCTTAATAAAGATACGAATCTATCTACAATTATATGTGGATCTATTTAATCACAAGAAGAGTAAGCATATGAAGCATGAACTACTTAAGAATTAATGTACTTGATTTGCTTTCAAGTCCCTTTTAAATAGCTTAGGACCGAATGGATTCCATTACACTTTTTCTGGGAAGGTACGAAACCGTTTGACCCCATATTTATGAGGGTCAAGCAGTATGAAATTCTTTTGGAATATCGACTAAGTGGGGAATTAATTACTCACAGTTATTAAGATAAAGGAGTTGTTTTAATTTGAGTGGAAAATCAGAACTAGATGTGGCTCTCTATAAGATATAGCAGAGTGTACGTAAAACATACAGAATACCATAAGAAACTACACTTTTGTTTGGTTGAAGTTGGTTTTAACATTACATTTGAAGGTTTAGCCTGTGACGCATACATCTAAGAAATCTCAAAAATGTTGTGCGAGAAACAGAAATTATTAAAAAGTTTTGATCTTTGGTTGTGAAACCATAGTATTGCCACTTACTGAGTAGCACAAAATATTTATTATGTCATTTGCAAAAGCAAGGTAATGCGTGTAGGATTTTTTTTCATCATGTCAAATGTGGACGATGTCGTAGGCCTGCATGCGTAATCTTTTCAAATAAATTTGTTGTTTATGCAGAGGAAATGCATCGAAGAATTTTTTTTTCCTCAAAAGAGTAAGAAGTTGAATCCAAAAGTTGAACTAGATTAACCTAGGATATGTGATTCCAGTTAAGGAAGGGTTGAAATAAAAGAAAATTACGACATGCGTGGTTGACGGCCATGAAAACACTGAATCACAAGAAATGCCCAGTGATGTGATGATATATTATACATCACTCTCATTGCGCTACTTACCTGAAAGACAGTTCTCAGCACCCAAATACCCTCCAAGCCATTGCCTTCATCTCTAGCTGCTATGTCATCCATGTGCTTCATCATCAGCTTCAAAACTTTGAACTGGGAGTCCTCATAGCCTCCAACTTTTCTCATGGATAAGGTACTGTCATATTATTAAGCACTTGTCATGCATAAAGAAATCAAACAAGAATTCCAAGAATTCTTTCACCGGTAATGACACTTACCTAAGCCATATGGGCGTATCAGCTTCATTTGAAGTAGTCTGGTTTTGATTTGTAAGAAAACCCAAATGGCAAGAGTCAATATTTAATCCAAGGAATATCCTTTATATAAGAGACAAATCCAATAGCTAGTTTTAATTTGCAAGAAAACCAGCTTCATTTGAAGTACTCTAGTTTTAACAGGCATTCCTGTAAGCAGGATTTTTTACACTCACGTCATATGTGGAGGGAATTTTTATGTCGCATTTGGCAGGAACTTAATTTCAAGTATTGCAGTACGTATACTCGTCTATATATGCTGGTCCTAAAAGCGACATATATAAACTTATCTACATTGGTCACAATAAAAGCAATGATGTACATCGATGTTTCTCAAAAACCAGTGTAGATAATCTTATTATCTAAATTGAATTCTCTGAATACCAACGTAAATTTTTAGAATTAATTTTCTGTATCTCTATATGGCCAGAATCTGAAGAATAGGCATTTCAATTCTTCATATACAGCAAATAAAACAGTAGCAATGCAGACTATATCCAGCAGATCAGCACCATTATCGACAGTATTTTAAACCTTATTGAACACTAACTGTAACTAGCATTACAATAAACTACACGATGGCAATTTTAAGGCTACAGCTAACATCCTATGATTAAGGTGCATCTAGTATCCCAAAATATTTTTCAGATGTGTCTAGCATTCTAAAGTTTTTTGTAGTATATCCAACAACTTGAAATATATTTTTATACGCGTTGAACACCCTAAAGTATTTTTTGGTGCAACCAGCACCCTAAAATATTTTTTAGGTACATCCAATACCCAAAAATAGTTTTTTGTGTATCCAGCATCAGAAGCAAGAAAAACACTTTAAGGTGCTGGATGTACCTAAGCACTACTTCAAGATGCTAGATCACAAAATACTTTGAGATATTAGATGCACCTAAAAAAAATATTTTGAAGTGCTGAATGCACTTTAACCCAACAATTCTAACTATTCCAAGAATAACCTAAAGCTATGGAAGGACCCCAAGACTCACTTTAAGACGACAACTTCTGAAGAAGTTGTGCTAAAACATTTCAGATAAAATGAAAGGAAAATACAATTCCCCATGGAAGGCTTTTTAAATACCTGCAGAATTGCATCGGGTTCAAAGGAAACCAACATCCTGTGCCTCTCAGCTATCACCTACTCCATAGAAATAGCAAAAATAGTTAAAGTATTGAGAGTAAAACGATGTCAGACGACAGAATAACTAAGTGACTAGCTATCAGTAGGCCTAAGATACCTTTAAAATGAAATGAGCAGCACATAACTGATCAGCAACGAAGATTCCATCCGCAAAACCCCACTGCATAAGAGGTTGAAAACATAACGGATAGGATTAATAGGAAATTTTTAATAGTAATTAATAATTAATACTCCCTTCGGTCCGCAATATATGTCATTTATAGAAGAAGTTTTTGGTCCACAATAAGTCACTAGCAAAATAATTGATGCTTATTTGCCAATTTTATCCCTGTAATTATATTTTTCTTTCTCTATCAAAAAATCATTTAATATGAGTAAAGCTAGAAATTTTTATTTTCAAATTAAGACAAATTTACTGAATTAGCTATCACATTTTGGTTTTAGTTAATTAGTTGGAAGTGACTTTATGGACGGGAGGGAGCACCTATTTGTAAGTAAATAACCAACAACAAAGAGTAAAGTATGATCAATAAGGAGATAGTTGCATTAAAATATATACCTTGCCCACTTGGAACTTGCACTACAAAAAAAGTTGAAGAATGAGTTAAATTAGATAGGATTTAGAAAGTAATTAAAAGGTAAAATTATATTATAAATATCACTAAGAAAAAAAAAATCATATTATAGGAGAAAGGTTATAATATACATTATCAGGGATTCTTCCATTAGTTCCGCTAATGTCGATGCCAGCAGATAAGCAGGCACTATAATGTTCTCTCACAATATCATTGACAGCACCAGCATTAGGGTAATATTGTCCCTGTCAAAATGAGAGAGATATGTATAGAATGGGTGAAAAATTCAACTACATGGCCTTCCAGATTACAGGACATTTGGAAAGTTTGAATTTTTTATTTTTAGTTTTTATCTAAACAATTAAAAATGGTAAGATAATTAAAGACTCTTAAGTCATCAATAATTCTAATTGCATACATCAAATTATTGAAATTTCATTGAAGGACCAATGGGAAACGGCACCATTCCCAAGTGGATTAATTGATTTTTGCAAGTAGTAGATTGCATAAAATCAGTTGTCAATTTCATATAGATTGGAAAGCTAGTTAACACTTAATTGGAAGGAGTTGTGTCTCCCAGTACTGGTCCTTCAAACTCTTTCCCAAATGGGTTTCCTGATTTTCAAAAGTCATTTATCTAGAATTTGCAGTTTTGATTTTATGAAACTTCAGTGATCCACTGGCAAGAAAAGAAAGCTCAAATTAATTCCATAAGTGAATTGTAGGCAAGCCACTTGAGAAAGCCAGGTAACTTAAGAATGACGTCGTCTTCTAGTGATCCTCCCATGAAACTTCAATAATTAGAGGTTTGTAAATAAAATTAATGGCTTAACCGGATCCTCATTTGTCATTATTTTCCAAAGAAAAATTCACCTGAGATGCAGGAGATTGACCATCAAGTGGCACCAAGGCGTATTCTTGCTGAATAACAATCCTATTGCCACATGAAACCAAAACATAGGTTTGTAAAGAAAGGAAAATAAGTTCTTAGCCAAACATCCTTGTTGAATATATGAGACATTAAGCAACGAATGACATATACCAAGGGTATTGAGTAGCAACATCATGATGACAATATATTATTGCAGCATCATATCTCTTGTTTGTGTGGAAGGGTTCTCCATTAGGAGAGTATGCATCACAAATGACCTAAAGATCAAGTCATCAATCATCATCATAAATGTTGGGAAAAATGCATAATGACCTTTAGAAAAGCTTGATAAAAACAATACAAACTCACCAAGATATCAAACCCTTTAAATGGACCATTGAAGACTGCCCTCGGGCTGTTGCATTTGTCACACATCTATTAATTAATAGGACTATAAATTGAGGTAGAGTCACTTATCAATAAGGGAAAAAACGCTTACTGCAGGGTGAGGCCACTGGGATGATCCCACCTGGGCAGATTGGAAGGGCCACTAACAGGGCCTGCAGGGAGGGTCTTTATAACACCAACAACATTTTATGCTTACATCAGTAAACCAAAACAAAACGCAAATTCTTTTCTGGTGGATTAAGAAAAGAAGAAGAAGAAAGAAAGCAGCGGTTTACCCTTGCTTCGCTCTGCAGGCCCCCACTGAATCCTCGTTCGCCGATCCTATAATAATGGAAGGTAAAAAGAGGGGTTCAGAGATAATGAATGAATTATCTATGGAAGGTACCTGAAAAGTACGGCAGCAATAAATCAGTGTCATTTTAGTACACAGAATCGCATCGATTAAGGTTGCCGGGAATTAAAAGCCAACGACAATAACATAAGGCAACTATAACTTGATAATTCCAAAAGAAAGCAAGAGAGATGACAGAAATGAGGGGATTCCAACCGTTGAGAATAAAAAAGAAGCCGAAAAGATGGGGAAAACAGGGACAACTGAAGGAAGAAGATTATGGTCGATTTAAGGTCTGCCGTCGTTATATGGGTCTCCGTCGACGGAGTCGTTGCCGTCAAAGCCCATTGGGTTGGAGCAGACCCCAAGCTTAGCAAGGCGGAGAATTCCTTCTCCTCTCTCGCGCGTGACAATGGCGGCTGATGCAGCCCCTCACTCAATTGAAGCACAGAGATAAGTGTGCATCCATTTCACATCTTGGTGGTCTCAAACACCTACCCTTGAGATCGTCGATCATGTAGACGCCAAAATCAGTAAATATAGACTCACCTGAGACGGCAAGACAACTACGTCGGCAGAGACAGATACAACGGCAAGAGTGCTCCGTCCATGTTGACGGAGGGCGCCGCCGCAGCAGCAGAGTGAGAGGGAGAGACAAGTGAAACAATGAGTTGGAGAAGTTAATGAATACGAGAAGCGGGAGAAGATGATGGGGCCGTATTGTTCAATTTAGTATCTTTCTGCACGCAAATTCATGCCTATAAAGAAGAGAGAGGCACCGTGAGAATAGAAGAAAAGAGAATTACCATATGTAGACTGCGTTGATTCCCGTGGAAGTGTCGGAAAATCTGGACAAAGCCATGTTCCGATGCTCGTAATGCGAGTCCTTCCGAATCACGAAGCTTTCAGGCAGAGCAGATGTTTGCGTGAAGGGTTTAAGGTTGTGTTCGTAGCGTAAGTAAGTGTGGCCTACAATTCTTATAAAGAAAAGTTTCAATTAATGGTAGAAAAATCTAGATCGAGATGACGTGATATGCGACACATGCAGATGGTGGACTAAGAATGACGGAAAGTCAAATCCTGGGATGCAGAGGTGCATTCTTATGAAGATATTAAGTATTATCGGTACGAATCATTAAAAATAAAAAGTAAAAATTAAAATCAAAATTAAAAAAATAGTATTTAATATGAGAGAGTGTTTATTTATATAGGATTAAAAAATCTTCGTACTGTTTTTTCAAATTCATTTTGAAAAATACTTAAAAATCCATAAGATTTAAGAAATGTTTGTGTTGAAAAAAATTTACATGGACTATCTTTTTATTCTCCACACTTTTTTCCCCACTAGTATTTTCATTTTTTTTAAAATTTCTTTGCCTCCACAGAAAGGCTCAACTCTATTACTCTCTAGCCATATATAGCCCCTCACTTGCAAATCTGTCTATTAGTTAGAACGATTGTAATTTTTAAAATTTTTCGCCTAAAATAGTTTATGTCGGGTTACATATATGTATAAATAGATACACCGAAAAAAAAAACAAGAAGAAGATAATGATTTTTTTTAATTTTTGTTTGCCCCCATGAATGAAAATAGAAAGCAAGATGGGGAGATAATGGTGTTTTTGACTTTTTATTGGATGAGTTGTAGGTAGCTTGGAAAGCGCAATATTAGTGCGGCAATAGACTTTATACTTCCTCTGATTTTATATACAACAAATGTTTTTAAAGATAGCTTGGTCTTATTTATTAAAAAAAACTAATAATTTGTTTAAAATTTTACTCCTCTGGTTCTATTTATAAATCACTTCCAACATGTTTCACACAGACAAAAAAAAAACTTAAACTTAATTAATTCTCATTTAAAATTCAACAATTTTCTAATTTTATCCCTATTTAATATATATTATATATCATATAAAAAAATCAACATAATAATAAATGAAGGATAAAATTGTATATCTATATAAAAAAATCTTTCAATATCCTATAAATAGGACTAAAAAATATTTTTTCTCTCTACTCTATAAATAAGACTAGAGAAGAAATCAGTATCATTTTTTATTTTTGTCTATATTAATTGTGAGTTATGTCTCACTTCATTGATTGCCTATTACCCTCTCACTCGTCTATCTACAAATAATGTGTTTTTCAAAAAAAAAAAATTGTTTTAACTATTTTTAAATTTTAATTTTAATATCCTGCTTTTCTTGGACGCCAATGATGGCACTCAACTCATTTTTTTAATTATTCTTTTTGAGATCTGACCATCTGAGATGAATTTCCAATCATAGTACTTCCTATCCAATTTGGTCTGGCCATTTGTAAAGACACAACTGAGCGTACAATAATTTTAAGGAGAAAATGCAAATAAGTCACAAGTAAATATTTTTTTATGATAATAATTACAGCAAGAGGTTAACGAGAAGAGAGAGACCAGAAATGTCTGCAGTTCACTATTCCTCTATGTTCCACGTCACCAGTGGCGGCAGACGATACTGACAAGGTGGGGTTCCTTAGAGTGGATAGGGACAAAGGTTGGAGAATAGTTCGTTATTATTAATAAACTCTTTAAATTTGACTTCTTATTAATAATCCTTTGAAATAACCAGAACCAAGAATATAGGTTAGATCCATGGATCAGACCGGCAAACCGTAAAAAATGACGGGTTATGATTGGTCTTTGGCTAACTTGTCAAAACTTAAAAAATATGAGCCCGCACTGTCACAGCCTGAGCCCGCTGCGAGTTGTGAACCCGTCTAAATTTTTTATATATATATATATATTAAAATATCCGGAGGAGGTGGGTTGGAATTCTGAAAAGGCAAGGAAGCTGAAATCCTACTGGCTACTACTGTCAAAATTAATGTTGAGTCAGCTTCAAATGTTATCACCATTAGAGATAATTAGATCAAGATGGTTATTCATTGTTACATGTTAATTTTATTGAAAAAATTTATGTTTGAACTTGTGTTTTTATCAAGTTTGGAGTTTGGACTTTGAACAATCATATATTTTGTGTTTTAATGTGTTGTAATTTTATTTGAATGCTTGGAATAATTTAAATCATTTCTGATTTTTTTTAATTTTTGATTATTTATAAGGAAAAAATTTTTTTAAAAAAATCTGGTAGATTAGTGGATTAAGATTCGCAGAATACCAGTCCGCTAGAAAACGAGTCTTTTGAGCTCAACTTGTATGACCGCAGAGGGTTGGCCTGTTTTACTAGCCCTAAAAAGAATTTTGTGAAAAATACATAGAATAAATTGTAAATTTTTAAGTTTCACTCATAAATATTGTAGAAGAACTTATAAAAATTTCTCAATTAAATCATAAATTATGGAATTTTTTTAATTTTTATATCTGAGACTTATTTGTAGTTTTCTAAGTTTTAATGCTTTGGTTTGATTTCAAGGTTAAAAAAAAATGCATTGGTTTGGTCAGGTGCCGCGGAGAGGAAAGATGACACCAACTATATGGCAATGGGGCAGCAAAAGATTTCAGGGTTAACAGGGAATGAGCCTGTTACACTGGAATCAGAATTTTTTTTTGGTATAGCTCATAGAATCCCCAAATTATATTGGGTTTGAAATTAATTTTTGTCAGATTGGTATTTGAACTTGTATTCTCCTTCTTATGGGATGAGACTGCTTACCATCTCAATCAATAATTTATTGGTTACACTAGAATTTAGAATTGAAAAAATAAAATGAGTTAAGTAGCATCTACTATTTTGAAGTATTTTTTATATATTCTAAACTGTTAGCTCCCTTGAGGTGTATACGAATTAGATAAAGGATTCATCTTGGTCTTATATACATACGACTTCAATTCATTTTCTCTCTCAAATTTATATTTTTTTGTCTAAGCATATCTATTGATTGCACATATTAAGGAGACTCTCAATTAATTAAGGGATAGTTTTAAGGCGCTGATTTAATAGGGTAGCTTAGGAAAACCAAAACAAATTTTTTTATAAATATAAATAATTAACTTAATTAATTTTTTTAATATTCATAAATTAGTTATATCAAGATCTTACATTAAAGGTTGGATGTAGTAATTTTTAGTGCATTCAACATCATTTTTCTAATAGCTACCAATATCCCAAATCAACATTTAGCGCACCAAGCAACTTAAAAGTATTTTTTTAACAACACTCAATGTCTTAAATTTAATGTGCTAGTTGCTATTGGGAAAAAACCTTTAAAGACAAAAAATTCACACAAAATTATTTTAGAATATGGGTGATTGAGTGGTACTAAATAAATTCTCTAGAGTATTGAATAGACTGAAAAAATTAATTTCAGATATTGAATAATACTAAAAATATACTTCATATGTTGGTACAATATAACCCAAGATAAAATTGCCCTTTTGTTTCGTTCCTTTTCCTTTTTCGATTCTCTCTGAGGCTTCCATCCCTGGATAGCGCTGGTCTCCATCTTATAAAAGACCGAATTGGATGGCAAGTGGAAATGCCATCATAAATTACTACTTCGGTCGTAAATATAGAATCCATTTTGTATTAATTCATTTTATAGTGTAAATTATATTACAAAATGGGTCTTATATTTAGGATTGGAGTAGTATAATTTATTAAATGTAAATTACCAATAAATCATTAGTTGAGATAGTAAGTAATTTTACCTATGTAAAAAGAAAAACACAAATTCAAATTTTAACAAGCACACTAATTGGGAGAGTTTTAATTTTAATACTCTCATTCTTTTAAGTTCAAAATGACTTAAGGAAGGATACACTCCC